GTTTTTCTTCTCTGCATTTGTGCAAACCCTTCATGATCCCAGTCTAGATTACATCTGACTTCTCAAGGAAGTAACTCACTGTGCTGTGCTGATTTCAACCCCCATGTAAGTTCGCATTTGAAGGCAGAATTTTACAGGGAAGGTAAAATTTTGAAAATAAAGTCCTCACAGGGCCATCAGAATGGATTAAAATTTGAACAGAGAGGAAACCATAATGTCAGTGGCGGGACTATCAAACAGTAGAGAACAGAAAATTTCAAGGCCAGCGTGGATATTTATTTTTTTTCTTTTCTTCTGAATTTTGTTGTATGTCTGGGAATAAAATATCTTCTCCAAGAATCCAGAATCCAGTTTATCATTTTTGTAAATATGGTAACTTGATTCTTAGCTCATCTTACACACGGCAGATAAACAAGCAATCATAAACTATGYCATCATAAATAAAAGCATTATTCAGCTCAGACAATGAAAACCAATCAATAGAGGACACTCATCCCCAAMGAAAGAAACTGCTAATGCTCTGTGGTTCCTGCTGGATACTCTGTCATTGTATTTTAAAACCACAAGGAATTCCCTGTGTCATCAGCAATGACCACTTTATTGCTGGTGAGTTAGGAAATCAGGAGGGCAAAGGTGCATTTGAATTCCGGGGGCTCATTCATTTAGCCCRTCTTCCAATGTGAAAGATCACCTGGGTTCCTTGTGACTTTGGACAGGTTCAGAGAAAAAGAATTGGGACTTTACTGCGGTTCAGCATACACATGATACCAGAGAATGGTAGGGTTTGTTCTTCCAACAACAACAAGAAAATTAAGAGCTGATTACCAGCAGAAAAAAAAATTAAAAAAATACTGAGCKGATTAGCAGTCACATATTTATGTCTATTCCTCTGGTTGTTTCAGTCAAAAATTGWAGCCCCAAGGAAAACTTCACTAATTTTTCAAGTAGTGCTACACTTCTTAATATTTCCTAGATTGAATACACCCTTTTTTTAAAGAGTAATTTTTTCTGTTTCAAAGTAGCTGTATTCATTTTTCATGAGACAAGCTTTTTGAACATGAAGGGTTCCAACTTGAAATGAATAATTTTATCTATATTTAAAAAAGCTATTTCATTCAACTTGAAAACCCATATTACACCCCCCAACCCCCTCACCCCAGTATTTTTTTATAGGGTGAAATATTTTTAATGAATAAGAACTTCCAGCAAACTGAAAAATAGATACCAGAATTGTGCATTTCTACTGTTTGTCCCATGATGAATACTATGCTGACTTCTATCAGATGCATTAAATCAGTCTCATTTMGTCCAAAAGTGATCAAACTTCATTTAAACAAAGCAATTCCTTTTGAAAGTGTTAGAAGGGAGAAGAACAACAAATTCAAATCATTCATTTCTCTCTTGCTTAATGAATTATTGATTTGTGCTTCCCTTTTGAATGATAGCGCTCTGATGCGATAAACATTGATTCAAATCTTTATACAAATATTGTATATCATCAGTGTGTTATGGAAACAGAACAATACATCCTCAAATGGAGCTGAAGGGTTGGAATGCCATGAAAAAAMCCACCATGAGGTGCCACAGCTGTGTGCATGTATGTGGACATGTAAAACAGAAACTGGAAATTAAAGCAATAAATAAATATATATAAAAGTAATTAATTAATTAATAATAAAGAAATGAAATCTGGGGTGGGGGGTGTAAGACGATGCAGAATTATAGAAAGTTTATGTTTGGGTTGAAGCTGAACAGACAACCTTGGAGATGAAAAATAATTACTTTTTGCTGCTAGTAATTCTTCCAAGTTGACATTTCCTGCARTCACGGGTGCAGAGCTGTCACAGGTTTGAACCGAGAGCCCTCTCACACCCTGCCTGTGTTCAGCAGTTTAGCTCTGTGCACAGCTATTCACAGCAACGGGAGCTACACAGCCAAAAGACAAAAGAAAAGTGCTGAGAGCGGTAAACACATAGATAATCCTGTCCACCAAACAATTTTGCATTTCCTTTATGCACCATTTATTGCAGACAAAAAAGCTGCTGAGAGATTTACGTCAAAGTGATTTCCACAGCTCAGCTGCTCGAGTCTGGGGAGATGATTGAAGCGCTGAGCTACACTTTCCCGGGGACCATTGCATCCCCCTGTTCCTGCCATGCYTATGGGAGAGATCTCACACTCTCTTCCTCAGACAAGTTAATTTCTAGCATCAGCTGGGTGGGTTTTGGCAGCCTGGATGATGGRAAAGTTCCTGGAGAGATGAAGGGATGAATCTCTTTCTGCTTTGTCTTGGGCAGCAGAACCCAACCCTGGTTGCTCCTCCTGCCACACCCAAAGCGSACAGGCTGGGAAGGTGTTCCACCATCCTTCCTCTGATATCCATGGGAGAGGTAGCTCTGCTTGGTGCACAGAGAGAGCCAAAATAGTCAGTTCTTTCACAACACAACCCAAAACATCCATATTTGAGGGAAAACATTCATACAAAAACCCTCAAATGAGTACGGCTGCACCAGGACAAGTGTTCGTGCTATTCTGCACTTTCACAGCAAATTAGTCTTGCAGCTAATGATCTATAACTATCACCCACCAGGGCAGCATTGAGGTTTTGCCTACGAGGCCACRAAGGGTGAGGTCTAAATCAGCATTCAGGGATTAACCAGAGCCAAACACGCAATCTCATCTCAACAAATTGCAAAGTGGGACCAGGGTGACGCGGAAGCTCCTTCTCTCTCTCCCGTCACAAGTATCACACCCAGTGTGGGCACTGTCATTTATCCTCCTGTRTGACAACAGCAGGACACAATTCCTTAGGGTAGGAAACAATCTGGCTTTCCTGGGACCACTCTCAAAGGCAACATGGCCAATTTTATTGTAAAACCCTGGCTCTGTGGTGCATCTGYAGGTAGAAGCTATGATAAAATAAACCAGGCTAGGTAAGGTGTGCAAATAAACATTTCCAAATAAATTTGCAAACAATATATATATTTTTTTTTTCTATACACGTGCTTTTGTGCAAGGTTCTGCTCTTTTAAAGTGCCTCTCTGTGGGCTCAATAGAATAAGACTACCCTGAAAATTTCTGCATGAGGCTGCTTCCCAGGAGTAGGTGGCTAAATCAGAGTTGAAACTTTTGCTTCTCCTAGTCTCAACAGAATCAGGCATCTTATTTCTATCACTCAATAAAAATTAGTTCTCCATTCCCAGAAAACGTTTCTAGTATTAATTTAGAGAATGAAACACTTTTTTGTGGTTATCAGTAAAAAACCCCAAACAGTCCATTTAAAACCTATTAGCAAACATAAGAGGGCTAAAGAAGGCATAATTAATGGAWTTTTTTTTCTCTTTCCACATATTTAACAGTGTTTTGGAACACRATCCATAACATACACAGCTCTGATTGTAAGGAGTTAGATCAACATCCTGCCCCAGTGCTCTTACATATGGAGTGGGAAAACGAAACTTGAACCTTCAGTTTACAAGTAGCTGGGGGAAAAAAAAAAATTAGATCACAGGGTTGAAAACTTGCAATTATTATGGCATTTGCATTATGACAAATTTAAAACTGGTATTCTAGGTTACGGACAGTGCTATAAAGCTGGTATTCTACGCTGTGTATTGCAAGCTCATTTAAAATGTACTCTTCCACGACATGATGAGAACACAAATTATAATTAGGAAAGTAACCCAAGCAGAAAATTAGTCTGGAAGACTAGTCTGAATGTGCTCCTGCAGACAAAGCCACCCTGTGTCCTAACTTTACTGTCTCGGTGTAGGGAGAGATTGATGCAGAAGATAAAGACAGATAYGGCTTTCCGGGAGGGGGAAAAAAAGAAAAGGCTTTGCAAGTATGATCCATGGTGTTTCAGTTGTGCAAACACACACAAAGAAAAGCCCCAGCAGATCCCATCTTTGCAGAGTTACTCACAGCACAGCCTGCCCCAGCTGCACTGCACAGGTCTGTACCTGGGGTTTTGTTCCCATAATCCCATTCACAGGCAAAACCCCACATTTACCAGCACAGATAAGGTCTGCTGACCCCATCCTGAACCCAGAGCCTACTTGCACCAAGTGAATGTACTAACGTTTGTAACCAACAAAGGGTTAGCTGTAATGGTAATGATCTGAGAGAAAACAGGGTTCAAAATTTCATTATGAAACAAAAGGACTCACAGAAACCCCAGAACTCAAAAAAGTGAAAACGCCAAAAGTTCTCGCTACTGCTAAGTCATCARCCATATAAATGATTTTAAAAAACTTATAAGCAAACAAGATACGTATCTCAAAACATTTGCATTTGAGGTTGTTTTTTTTCTGGAAATGTTTTGTGGAGTTCAGAAGCCAAATGGTTCCCTACAATTCAGTTGGTATCTCTGTACTTTATCTAGACACACTGGAAAAAAWCCACCTTTTGGAAAATTATACCTACCTCTCAGGTGTCTCTTCCTGTGGGAAGACACTGGYAACACTAGACACTGGTAACATTGTACTCAAATGAAAGGTTTATAATTTTACATTAAAACTTATTTGCATGATTTTCTATTAAAAGTTTCCTTGTATTTTCTGTAAGAGTGAGTTTTCTTGAGGTAACTGTTGCTAATTCCTTTTATGGCTTCCGTGTGCCTTACAGGACTCAGGAGATTTATCCTCATTTAGAAAAAGACCAAAAGGAAAGCAAAAAAATCTGCTGATGCAAGGAGCCAGATTAACAGTTGCCCTAAAAAAAAATAAGTTATGAACTAAACAAAACAAGAGGAACAGAATCTATAAGAGAGGGACAAAAAATTAAGGAAGAGTGTTCTTCCTGCGTTTTGTGGGACAGAAGTTACTTAGGGCATCATTTGAAGACACCAAAATATATTCAACCCAACCTAGGCTTAGATCCAAATCCATCTCCTTGGCTCTGCAAAAACCCAGATCATCTACAGGAGATCCTGCTGGTCACTGGGGCTCTGMCACATAAATCTAATCAGTACATTTTATTTTATTTCATCTCACACTCACCAGCCAGTCAGAGCATCTCACTTCAGCAGTGGAACGGTGTGGAGATTCAACCTCTGGTTGGTGACAATGATAAGAAATCCAAACAGGGAAAAGCTCCAGGAGGAATTTCTTGGACCTGAATGACAGAGCAGATTGATTAGGGTTAGTTTTTTTCCCTCTTTCAAAGGCTGTGGAGATTTTAAGTTTACTTATTTCACATTATTTTATATGTAAATTTAAAAAATTTTCACTCTGCATCCAATTTGTCTGACAGCTTAGGAAAAAGGAATGATGAGTTCACATACAATGCATGGTCCGAGAGGGTGTGTGTGAGTTTAGTGTACATTTGAATCCACTCCTGGTCAGAATATTTCCCAGGAGTAGTGTTTAATACAGGCTTCAATAATGTGTGTCTGTTCTKTTGGAGGTGATTTAAAACCATGCCTGGTGTAAGCACATGTTTATTAACTGTTGTTCAGGGCACAGGTATTTCCTGAACCGGTCTGTAGAAGAAGCCAGAATTTTTCTTAACCAAAATCAAAACTCAAAGTAATGGCTTATATTTGAAAAGCAAATAAACACACTTGGGGTCAAAGCTGCTCCTTTAAACTTCATCACTGGGGTATGTGTTGTGGATTTACAGTGCCCATTTTAAAAACTTTTAGGCATAGGATTTTTTTTTTTTTGTGTGTGTTCAAAATGTGAAAAACATTTCTAGAAGAGCACCTCTATAAAGAGAGAATTGGAAAAGGAATACAAATCTATGTTTATTGCTTGTCAGAGCCCTCATRTAGGATTTAGTTTTAATGAAAAGGAAGAAATACACAATCATCAAAAACAAAACCAGCAGTGATGATGGAGACGATTTGGGCAACGTAAAGTTTTTTTTTTTTTTTACTGATTCCTGAATTTTCATTCTTTATATATTTTCAGAGAATCTACTTATAGAAAGTATCTACATATTATGAGCTAACAAAATTTCAAAACTCTGGTTTGGTGACACTCACGGGATATTTAACACTTTCCCAAACTGTGACAGAATTTATATTCATGGATATCTTTCAAAAACCTAATTTCAAGTTTAAAAATACTGACTCACAGGCTTSTTGAAATGTGTGAGAAACGTCCTATAGAACATGCATAAGATGACAGGAATAAAGGCGTCGGGTTAAAAAAAATATGTGGAGAAATAAAAACCCACCAGGAAAGGTATAAATTTGWTTTGCTCATGTCAAACTGCCCTGATCATCCTGAAACCTCCTTAGGTGAGGTTTCCACCTGAAGTGTGYCTTATTTTGTACAGACTTACTGAGCTGGAACTCCAAAAGTCCAATTTAACAATCCCTCAGCTGAGGATGCACGTGCTAGGATGTAGCCAGCAAGAGGGAAACTTGGGTTTAGGATCTGATTATTGAACCAGACTACRTCACTTTGTAAAAGTTCTTGGAGCTCCCTGAGTCCAAGAAGCAGGATACACATTCCCATGGAAAGTATTTTACATGTAGGAAGCATTCAGAGTACCTGGTGCATGTCATATTGACCTGGATTCAGGAGATAGCACAGTATCTGATTTTTTTAATGAACCAAAACCCCAAATAAAACTCAGCCAAAATTAATTTAAGTACTAATCAGAATAGTTGAAAGTAAAAAAAAAAAAAAAAAAAAAAAAAAAGAGTAAAGTATTTATGGAGCAACTCTTGCAGTGGTGCTTGCAGACAGCAAGGCAGAAACAAACCTGTTTTTTGCCAAAAAGCTGCTTATCATCTGAACTTCTTTGCAGAAATTTAGAAATTACTGGGTAACTCAGYAGCTTTCTGAAAGCTCGAGAAATCATTCTACAACATTTTCTGGCTATTTTTCCGTCACTTGGTTCGACTGAAGAAATTAGAAATTCTGCTTTYCTGGGCTTTTCAGCACCTCCTCCTTTCAGCCCTCCTACAGATTAAAAATGGTAKGAAACAGCAAGACTGGCCAGGAGAAGGAATATGCAGAAACACGTCTCAGAGCCTCAGGCTTTCAGAMTCCCAAAGACAGGGATGAAAGCTCYAGACTMGTGTGCAGCCGTGCTGAGGTGGGGTAGCCCCAAGACTCTGTGTAGTGTCCAGCTGGAAAATCATCCCTTCAATCTGAAACTCCCAAGCTGTTCCCTTCTGCCTCCCCTTCACTGCCCAACTCCCCCAGATTTAATTAATAGCTCTATTATGTGCCTCCACTGCAATATCAGACCTGTGCAGGAGYACCTGGAAGGAGCCCTCCAGAAAAACAAGAGCTGTGATTGCTCTTTCCAKGTTAAGCCTTCTTTAAAAAATTTGTGGGCACACAGAAAGTTCGATGCAGACTTCTTAAGTGAAATCTGTACCTGTGCTAATGRTCTTCAGGAGCTCTCACAGGTTGAAGAGGAATAAGTGTAAAAAAAAAAAGCTCAGATTCATTTCTGCCTTCAGAGCACACCCTTTCCTACCCAACCTCTAAGTACAGATCTTCCCCTGCTTTGTCTATGAGGAAAATTCAGTAGTCCAAGTGAGTAACCAGTGCCCAAAATCTTGTATCAGGATATAATTTAACTGTGTTGCCCTCAATAATTTGCTTTGCCCCTAACAATTTCTTTTAATTTTCAGTAGTCCTGAGCTGGTCAGGCAGTTGGACTAGATGATGACTGTAAGTCTTTTGCTACTGAAGTATCCTATCCTATCCTATCCTATCCTATCCTATCCTATCCTATCCTATCCTATCCTATCCTATCCTATCCTATCCTATCCTATCCTATCCTATCC